AGTCCAGTAGTCTTTCTCACAGTCCTCGAACTGCATTATTTTCCCTTTTGTCTAGAAAACCCGGGTTCGATATTGTTAAAAGCGGTGTAAAACCATACTCACTCACCCACCCTTCTGTCTATCCCTTTCTGCAATGCTAAAGCTCTAAATTAAGCAAGTCTAAAGTCCGTCAGATTCATCAGAATTAGCCTTCTCACTGGAGCTCCTTTTCAATTCAAAAGGCAATGTTTGTTTCCATCAAAATTATATATACTCATGCCAATAATGGTTGCCAATTGAAGGGGGGTGACAACCATTATTGGCATGAGTATATATTCAGGGACTCAGCGTTAGTCTACAAGTCCAGTCCCACTTCCTTGACCTGAGAGTCAAATTTAACACAAGTGATAGCTTTTCAACAGCCCGGCTTTAATGAAACCACCCAGTATAGTTTTACCAGAAATTATTGACAAAATCTTTGTTTCCTAATACTGATAACAAAATTTTAAAATAGGCGTTACATAATGTAGTAAAGTACTCAACATGGGAAGCAACTCTTGTAGGCTTAAGAATGAACCTTCCTACATCAAGAGTTATCTCCCCTGGTGAAGCTGACGGCTTCCTTTGTTGACATGGCAGATTTGACAGCAGAAGAAAAAAAAAATGGTTCTAGATTAATTTGAAAGGGGTGTGACTAATGCAAACGAGTTAGCTGGTAGACATGACATTCCTCTGTCTAAATTATACAGAACTTTGAAGAATATTCAAACAGGAGTTGGGATTGAGCACAAGCCCTCGGACAAGGCCAGGGTGGCCAAGGAAGTTCAGTAGCCTACTACGGATCGCCGGCGACTTGTTCAGATTGTGAGTAGGGGAAAATCGAAAAGCGTTGAGAATATCAGAGATGTGATTAACAGAGGAAGTCCTCAGGTATGTAATGAAACCCTTAGACAAGAATTACAAAGACTTAGCTTGGTTAAAAAACCGCGGAATTCCCTCACCATTGATGAAAGATGCACAAAAAGAAAGACGTTTTAAAAACTGGTGTAGGGCTCGCGAAAATCACGATTGACCGGGTTAAAAGATGAAAGTTCTGTCTTGCTTTTTCCGAACTGTAAATTCTGACAAAAGATACCGTGAAACCCATTAACAACGCCCAAAATTTCACATGTAGGATGGGATATCATCACGTGGACTGACACCGTTGTGTATTTTCACTGAAAATTTGACGAAGGAACGGTATGTTGACATCTTAAATGGTCACATCTTTCCAACGGCCCGAACATTGCATGAAGATAATAGGATTTTGCAGCATGATAACGACCCTGCGGGTCACAAAACAGGGGTTGTCGGACGAAAATGTTCAAGTTTCAGACTGGCCAAGCTACAGCCCAGATCTTAACCCTTTTGAGAATGTGTGGGGACTAATGAAGGACAGAAATATTGAGGATATGAAGAAAGAAGTGGTCGAATATTGGTGTACGCTGTCACACGATTTCCTACAAAAATTGAACGGTAGTGTACCTTGCAGTTGTGTATTGCTGGGCAAGGAGGTCTCACAAAGTACTCAAAAGACACGTAGGCTGTAACTGTGAGAGCATTATATCCTAAAGTTAATGTTATTAGATATTTGCCGAAACAACCTTCTCAGTAATTTACGAAAATACTGTATATCCGTCTGCAGCACACGGTCGAAGATCCCTGTCATTAGGGAGACGTATTTCATGTGATGTATGGACTAGTAGAGGCGCTGACATTCCATCCTACAAATGTCGTGCTATTCCCTCTTCATACTGAATGCACTGACCTGTTGACCGAATCTTTCGTCGGTTAAACACGATTGTGACAGACTATGAGAGCATTTATGACCAACTCGTGTTATTCCGGGACAAGCCGAATAGCGAGTTTACATAAAGGACTCTAGAGGTGACGCATGTACGTCACATATGCAGACAATATATTAAGGCTGTTACGATTCACTCTCATATTCAGTGAATCGAACCGTAGCCCTTCATGAATTGAATTCGTTGTTCGTGGCCACCAGAACCGAATATTCATGAATATTTACCATTTTTTTTTAAAGGTGTCCGTTTTACTTGAACCCTTATGTCCTTTTTCAAATGAGATATGCAAGAATGAAATATGTACTAGCCTTGTAGTACCGCAAGTCATGTTAGTTTTCCAAGGCCGCACATGTTACTGTCAGCTATAACTATTAGATACCAAATTTGAGTGTAATGAGATCACTGGTTATTGCTGTGACAAATTAACACTGTCAACATGGGCATTTAATATTGTGCATCAACCACTTAACTTCAATATTGTATTCATGAATAATTATTTGTATTCGTTACCCAATATTCGTGATACGTATCATATTCGCCACATAGTGTATCTATATATCCCTCCAAGAACCATCACAGTTCTGAAGCTGGTTAATACAAGGAGAAGACAAAGGTGCCTCCTTTCAACAACACTCGTAGAACGAAGCATTAATCTCAATAACCTAAACTACAAACTCTTAGAGGTCACGGTAAGGGATAAATAACTGCAATTTCATCTGAGGCGTGTAAATGAATACGGTTAGGTTTTAAAGGTTTCCGGTCCATATCAAAAGAAAGTCAATAACATCGTTCACAATTGATTTCAGGCAACAACAAAAAATCCATATCTTTGTTGTTGTTATCTTTCTTCTTTTAGCACCACAATCATCCACAATCATCCAGCTATATGACTGCGGCCTGTAAATAATCAAACCTGGACCAGACACTCCGGTGAACATGGGCATTGATCTAATTAAGCAACTGGGTTACAATGATATGCATCATCGCCGACAGCGAGCCTGACCCCACGATCCGGTTAGTCGCCTGTTACAACCAGTGAGCCAGTATTCATTTTTGTTCAGACCAGTTTTTAAACATGTTGTGAGATTGTCGGATTTCAATTAGTCAAACTATGAGATGAATGGGTGACATGTTTGATTTATGACAATAAACAACAACATTTTTTGTATATTCACCACGTCAAAGATCTTAGGGTCTATCTGGATTCACAGCTCTCCATGGAAAAACAAGTTCCCCACATATGCAGAACGTGCTTTTAACATCCTAGAGCCATTGGCAATATACGACATCTTATAACAACTGAGGCAACGAAGACCTTGGTCCATGGTCTAATAACACCAAGACTGGATTATTGTAACAGTTTGGTGCGGGGCATTAGTGACAGACATCTATCCCGACTACAAATGGTCCAAATCACAGCGGCTAGGATCATCACCAAACCAGGAAGTATGCACATATATCACCCATCCTTAGAGAGCTTCACTGGCTGCCCATCAGAGCCAGAATACAGTTCAAGGTGCTCTGCATTACATACAGATGCCTCAACAACACCAGCCCTGACTACCTTAGTGACTTACTTACTCCATATGTACCAGCTCGACAACTTCGCTCCAGTGACAGCAACTCACTCACAGTTCCTTCCTACAGACTAAAATCCTTTGGCTACAGAACGTTTTCTCAAATCGCCCATCTGACGCCAAACTTTGTCCCACGTTCGAACTGTTCAAATCACGACTCAAAACACACCTGTTCCCTCAATGCATCTGACTTTTCTCCTTACCTTCTTATTAAATTCAAATCTCTACTCCAGACAGTTGACGTTATTTTGTAGCGCCTTGAGCAGGCTTTATGTCTGCATTGTGGGCATTACAAATGCACTTTATATTATTATTATTATTATTAAATTCACGCTTGAAACCCACTGCATAGCTGTGAAAATTCAATTTTCAGACGAGGAAGCGTGATTTGGTTTTTCAATCAATATTGCCTTCCTTGAATTAGTCTTCCACAGAAGGACGTGCATTCATGTTATGCAAATGCTCTGGAAATGAAAAACGCGGAATTAGCTTTGCGAGTGAGTTCTTATACACATGAAAGTACCCTTCTCTGAGAGAGCTAACATGCATCAAAATAGTCTCTTCTAAATTCAACTGTTCCTGGGAAAGTACTGTTTGCTCCAGATAACCCGGAAGTTGAACCACTTCCATCAATCCTGTTCATCATCTGATGGTTCAGGTTAGAATTGTTCATCAGCAACCCAGGCTTGTCGTTAGAGGCAACTAACGGGATCTGGCGATCAGGCTGGCAGTCTTGGTAGATCCATGTGAGCGGTATCAATCATTTGATTGTATGGTCCAGACTCGATTTTTTACAGCTGGAAAATTGCTGAGTTGGCGTTAAAACAATAAACGAACCAAACGTGTTAAGTGTATAATCACTAAGTTACCTCCTCCATACGCATCATGCAGGGTAGGTCTGATGTAATTGTTCTGTTATAGCATGAAAAGCGTTGATCAAATCCATGTTTTGGCCTGACATGATGTGCGGTTTGTGTGGTTACATCTAATGTCTTGTCGTGGGGTAGCCTAGTTGTTAAAGCATTCGCTCGTCACGCCGAAAATCCGGGTTCGATTCCCCACATAGGTACAACGTCTGAAGCCCATTTCTGGTGTCCCCCGCCGTGATATCGCGGGAATATAGCTAAATGCGGCGTAGAAAAAGCCTCACACACTCACACCTGTCATGGCTACTGATTAAAACTGTTAAACTTTGTGGGAAATGGGAACAAACACCTCTGATGTGTATATTGGTCTCTTAGCGTTGCCAAATGCTAGTTCTAACCACAGATTACCAATAATTTCCAATAATGGCGGTAACACATATATCTCTTAGTCTGTCTGACAGCCCCCGCACAGCTCTTTCAGCAATTCGTAAGTTGTACGTAAAGCAAGTCGAGATGTATTCAGTTTCCTCTGATTTTACCAACTAACTAGGGCTTGTTTCAGTTTAAGGAATTATTTGTTTCTACCAAAATTACATCTATTCAGAGACAAAGCGTTAGTTTGGTATGTCTGTCATCAGGATGCGTTTCATACTTTTACTACTAAGGGCACAGTTGAACGCTATATCTGTATAGGCTGCATAGGCGGATCCAGAAATTTTCAAGGAGTGGGTCAGGGGGTTAAACACCCCACCCCACCCCACCCCCCTCTGTATCCGCCACTGTGCTGGAAACGAATCGAAAGTATCTTGCACATCCTGACAAGAGGGGAAACAAAGACTGCTGTGACAATGTGTTTCCCGTGACAATGTGTTTCCTGTGTTGTAATTGCCAGTCTGATGAATGACGGCCCATAGCTTTAGTACAACCAGACAGGACGTTTCATGGGTAGGTAGGGAGTACTCCGCAACACTGCCGGTACGTGTTACTACTCATCCTATAGTTATGTATCACTCAAACCCTCTATGGGCATCACTTGTCAAGATTATGTATTTGTGTGCCTTAGTGTTGTTAGTTGTTGTTGTTGGTTGTTGTTGTTAGTTGTTGTTGGTTGTTGTTTAATGCCGCACTCATTGGGTACAATGTGTGAAGCCCATTCCAAATGCCTCACGTCGTGATATTGCTTGAACATTGCTAAAAGCGACGTAAAATTAAACTCACTCACTCACTGTAGTGTGGTGCTGTGAAATTCTGTTGTTGTTTAGCTCTCAGGGCGTAGCTACCACTGTAAAAAATAAGCCTGGGCTTATACACAAAGATTGGGCAAACCCCCAATACCATCTAAATATAAAGCTTTGCAACCTATTGGGCTTACAAGAAAAGATTGTCTTGCTACGCGCCTGGCTCTGATATGTACGGAGACCTACCATGATGAGACTTGTATGTGAGACAGAGTACCTTGGAACCTGGACCTGTTTGAGCGATGGGGTGATCCGACTCTATTGAGCTTTCATGCAGTTCTATTCTGGGCCCCGTTCCTCAAAGCGATTGTAGCGCTACGATAGTCGTAAGTCTATGTTAAAGTATGGGAGTTACGATCATCGTAGCGCTACGATCGCTTTGAGGAACAGGGCCCTGGGCTTGTACTTTATCAAGGAGAATGTCAGTAAGTGAGTGAATTTAGTTTTATGCAGCGATGAGTAATATTCGAGCACAACCGGGGACAACAGCTGGGCTACCCACATTGTACGCATGCAGGGAATCGAACCCGTCTTCGGCGAGACGAGCGAACGCGTTTACCATATAACTCACACACTCTCTGTACTGGTTGTGTGCGGGGCCAAGAGCGACTCGCATGAGGTCCTCCTTGGTCGGGATATATACTATTCACACTTTTCTGAGGATCAAACCATTGATTCAACAGAAAACTATGATGTGGGATCTAATTTGGTTTAAATATCTAAGCTTATGGTAAGCATGGATATTAGGTTTCAGTGTGTCACTGCATCTTGTGGGTACTCGTCAATGACTCGTTCCATGATTTGCAAAATGGTTGATTAGAGCCATAAACACACTTTTTATGGTTACTCATGTATCACTGACTGACTGACTGAGTTTAGTTTTACGCCGCTTTTAGCAATATTCCAGCAATATCACGGCGGGGGACACCAGAAATTGGCTTAACACATTGTGCCCATGTGGGGAATCGAACCCGGGTATTCGGCGTGACGAGCCAACGCTTTAACCACTAGGCTACCCCACCGCCCCTACTCATGTATCAAGCTGCATAAGGTTAAATTAAAGTGGCTGTTTGCCTAAAGAGGGGTTACGGAAGCGCTGAGGGGACCTCATGAAATAAAACTTATCTTGAGCGTACAAGTTAATATCTTGAGCGCTCAAGTTAATATCTTGAGCACACAAGTTACTTATCTTGAGCGCTCAAGTTAATATCTTGAGCACACAATTTACTTAAATTAAAGTGGCTGTTTGCCTAAAGAGGGGTTACGGAAGCGCTGAGGGGACCTCATGAAATAAAACTTATCTTGAGCGTACAAGTTAATATCTTGAGCGCTCAAGTTAGTTATCTTGAGCGCACAAGTTAGTATCTTGAGCGCACAAGTTAATATCTTGAGCGCTCAAGTTAATATCTTGAGCGCACAAGTTACTTATCTTGAGCGCACAAGTTAATATCTTGAGCGCACAAGTTAATATCTTGAGCACACAAGTTACTTATCTTGAGCGCACAAGTTAATATCTTGAGCGCTCAACTTCGTGTTTAGCATCTAATGGCATTAATGGAACGCACATTTGCTTGACTGCTGGCTAAAATGTACAAACTTATATCCTTTTTGGAAGATTTCAAACGATGCAAAGTCGGAGTTAACTATAGGTGTTAGTGAAGAGACTATGTAAAAGTATGCAAATTTATCATGAACATTGATAATGTTTCTGTAAACGTTCATTGTCTTTATGTTTGTCAATACTATTCTTTGTATCTGATTTTACCACTTTTTGCTTTATTACATAAAGCAGGCCTAGGTATGTGTAATGTCATAATAAGAATTAAAACATAAACATGAGTAGGAGTTTATTGCAGGGATGAATAGTGGTTTTACTTACTCCTTATATTGGTACATAGTATCATGAACACTAGCGTAAAGCTTGGATAACTTGTTTTGTGCTACGGCTTTATTATGTATACATAGTATTACATGACCATGACAAATGTAAACATTGAGTGTTATACTTAGTTATCTTAATTATAAAACTAATGTCTGATGTATTGGAAGTAAAGTCGACCACTTTCAGGGAACTATAGTCTGTATAGTCTTGGTTTGCATGTATCAGTAATGTTTCCTAACGTGGGTACAATGGCAGTTTAACTCTGTACAATATCATATAAAACACGCCTGATTTATTTGATCCATTAGTATATGTGCACGTATAGCATATATGCCGACTTTATTTCTTACTAAAATACCATGTTCCCCGTTTTACTTCCTCCGTTTCAATCCCTTATGTATACGTATGTGTGTTGTAGTGTATTTAACATGTTTTAACAAGACAGGAAGTTGAAGAATAAACACGTCGATGAAGACAGTGTCCTGAGCGAAATTCAACACCATCCGGGTCCAACAACGACCGTACAGTATCCTGTTTCACGATTAAACCGCATTGGATACATTTTTGATGTATCAACGATAACCATGTCTTTGTTCAGATCGTCGAAGTTGTCTGCAATAAAGTATGTAACATCAGCGGGGTGGTGGTGGTGGTGGGGTGGGGTGGGGTGGGGTGGGGGTGGGGGTAGCCTCGTGGTTAAAGCGTCCGTTCGTCACGCCTGGGTTCGATTCCCCACATGGGTACAATGTGTGCAGCCTAATTCTCGTGTTCCCCACCGTGATATTGCTGGAATATTGCTAAAAGCGGTGTAAACCGTACTCACTCACTCGCTGTAACATCAGCAAATCTGGTATCTGGTGCGAAAGGGACATACACCTCAGAATACGCTTCAAGTGGCGTACTATACTATACCATGATTTTTGACAAAAAGATGTGTAATGTGTTTGTATTGGAACCCAAGACTGAAATAAGCATGAACTGCTTATAGAGCAGTGTATCTTAAGATACCAAGTTGAGCGCTCAACATACTAACGTGTGCGCTCAAGATACTAACTTGTGGGCTCAAGATATTAACTTGAGCGCTCAATATACTAACTTGTGCGCTCAAGATAAATTATATTTCATCAGGTCCCTTCAGCGCTTCCGTAGGTTACGATATCATTATTTATCTAGTTTTAAATGGATACAATTTCAAATTATAAATCTATGTTTAAGTAAACTTGGGAATTTTTGTGATCCTTAGCAAAGTGTGAGTAGTTTTTGCGCTTCCGCGCCTTCAGCTGGTGAGATTTATTTATGGCCTAAGGGAAAGCCCCGACCTATTTGCCAAACTCCTTACACCAACGCGGAAATGAGAGCGAGCAACTTGTTTGTTTGAGATAACAGTGACTTATAGATTCTAGCCGGTGAGTTATCATAGCTAGTTTGACATACAGAATATGCGAATACGCCTGTGGAGCATCGTTGGGTAGGATATGCAGTGCGCAAACTTTTGGTAGCCAAGGCTTGACTATTTGAAGTTGAAAACCGTTGCGCAGTAGTCGATGGAAAAGTGATTAAATTCAGTTATCATAAACAGATTTCTTCGCAGTTACCAACTACGAGTATACCCTAATATCACTCTGTGAATGTTGCGTTTGGAAAGAAGCAAAATCATTTCATCTTCTTAATTTATATGCGTAGAAACAAATAACTTGCATTTCCGTGTTCTTACTCGCGAGGAGATCATGCATGAGTTGTAAATGTTGGCCTGAGTTTAGCCGAGAGCCGCGATGCGGTCCTATACAGTCCATGTCTTGACTGCTTGAGTTCAACTTTCTAGGTCACAACGACGAAGTGAATTAGTGAAGACGAATTGGGGAACGATTGGGGTTGAGTTATTATAAAGCACGTTTGGGCTTGTATTAACTTCAGTCATAAGCTTTAAAACCCAACATAAAGACCCTGTTATCATCAAGATACAGGTTATATTTATTACTATAGTTAAAAGCTATATGATATATATATTAACATGAACTGAGGTAATTATTGTTCTAATCTGGTATAAATTTATAACACTTCATGCAGATCCAGAAGAAAAGTTAATGTTACGAAAATGACATGGATACCCTATGCAGTGTATTTAGTGCCCCTTCCCTAATAAGCACACCTTTAGTAATATTAAGCATGCAGAGCATCCCAAAAAAAAAAAAAAAAAAAATAAAATAATTATTTAAAAAAAATAAAAATGAAAACCCAACAAACTATAATAATAATATTTAAAAAAAATAATGCATACATAAATACATAAATTAAAACAAAATAATAGGGATAAAAAGACATGAACAAGAATAAAAAAACCAAAATCCCAAACGATTCTGTTTTGTTATACTCCTGATCCCTAGCATTATTTTTCTTGTCTTTACTGTTTGCAGTATGAGATTAAACAACATCTTGTGACACTTTCTAAATATTATTATCGAGCAACAGAAATATCCAAGGCTTATTACTTTTGAAGACCAAACTATCAACAAATAAATTTGTATATTTCTTAAACATATTTCACAGATCTTATGAAACAGTAATATTTGGTTGCTTGGAATTTGGTTCCCATCTTCTGTTTCAGACCATACAGCATGGTGTATACAGATTATCTTGTTAATTAGTCAATACTTTTCCTAATTATAATATTTTTAAAATATAAAGATTCCATGCTGAGTAGATTTCCATTTACAGTAAATCCTGCAGGTATGAGTGAATGTGACAGTTTAATGGAGGTCCCAGACCCAGACGAGATTACAGGTGACAGCTTCAATGATGGGACTCTGCCGGGGGGATGGAGAAGACGAGGCTGATGGGACATCACGGTACAAACGGATTCCCTCCACAACAGACACACTGGAAGCAGATCCAAGATGGAGAATTGTAAGAGTAACCTGTACACTCTATACTGTGTCATATCTAGTGCCTAGGCAGAGAGGCCAACCTCTATGATTTTATCGGGAGTCGCTACAAATTTTATATCTTATGTGATTCCACTAGGTAGTCTACAAAATTCATTAAAATTTATATATAGACAAAAACATATATTCGTCGATTAAATACATTTTCGGACTTCACTTACCTTCCATTCATCAAATTTAATGACATATTTCAACTGGAATCATTGCAAGTAACAAAAGTAATAGATGCGAAATTGTCTATCAGGAATCTGAAGCTGATTTCAATACCTTTGCAATTTGACTCACTTATTGTGTACCAGCAGAAAATGGAGATCCTATGATGAATGATTTAACCACGTGACCATTCCTTCCATTCCTTTCGTTCAATAATACGAAATCGGTATGTGAAATTAAAGCTTCACTTTTGATTAGTGTCATATTATCTTTCTCAGAATCCATCATGATTTTAAGTATTTAGTTGACTACTAATTTTATGGTCAAACTTCTAATTTTGATCCTTGACACTACTATTTGCAACACTTTGGGGTGGCCTAGGTGCTAAAATAGTGTTTAGATGGAATCGAGTCATTTCTTTACGACCATTTGTTTCAGATAAATAGAGAACCGGCAAGGGGAGATAGCTCACATATCCATTTTTGTTCCATTGGTTATTCACACTTAGATACCTCTCTGCTTGAAGAAAGGGCAAATCCGAGTGAACTTCGACTGGGCAATCAAAGATGGTTTGGCTTTTTGGCCTGTCAGATTTAAGCTTTGTTAGTTATTCATTTTGTTGTCATCACCATTTGTTGAATCAAGCATACACTGAACCCATTGTTCACTTGATGGCAGGGTTTTACATGACGCACGATTCCTGCGTATTTGACGCAACAATTTTGTAAACGACTCTCAAAATATTATCATAATTCAGTTCAATAAAATCGATTTGATAAGCAGAACATTATATTGTTTGATGATAGTTTGACTATTACAGGGCTGTCAGATAGTTCCAGAGAACTCAGAGGAGACAGTAATCCAGGCTGTTTGAATTGAACAATGCTGTAGTGTCATTTGGTGGTTAAAAATTTCACAACCCTTAGTAATGATCGAAGAAATTTTGCTCACGCCAAAGAAGCAGTTATTCACCAGATACTTCTGACTAAAATAACATTCTACTACATTTCTGGTCATAAATATGCATAAAACAGCAGTGGCGAAAGAACAGGAGGGCTTATTCCCCCCCCCACTTTTTTCAAGACGAAACCATATCTACCTTACCATAACTACAATTTCATTTTGATTTTCAATACTTTTCATAAATTAGCCCCCCGCTCTGAAAACCGTTCCTACGCCCCTGCACAGTTACATACTGAGAATGATTAACACAAAGAAATATTTAAATTTTCATGACTCACAAATATTGAAAATGACTCCCACTAATAAATATTGTGAGTCACCATGACTCCCATTTTAAAAGTCTGTGTAAAACCCTGCTTGATGGGACTCCCGTGTCCCATGTTACTATGCTTGTTTTGTTTGTTGTTCAACACTCAGCAATATTCCAGCTATATGGTGGCTGTCTGTAAATCATCAAGTCTGGAACAGATAAGCCAGTGATCTACTTCATTAGCATCGATCTATGCGATTGGTATATGATGATGTGTCAGTCAAGTCAGCGAGCCTGACCACTCGATCTTGTTAGTTGCCTCTTATAGCAAGCATGGGTAGCTGAAGACCAGTTCTAACCCGGATCTTCAAGGGTAGCCATGTCACTATACACAGAATGTATATAATAAAGATATCTATCGTATATATAAATATTAAGATGCAGCCTTCATATTTTCCCTTTGGAACTGGTTGCTTAAGTTCCCCTTTAAAATACATTAATCAGATATGCTTGTTTGAATACTTCAGTCAGTCATGCCGAGATTTAAAATTCTTGATGCAGACAGTCTTTTCATAAAATTTTCATACATAACTGCCTTTCTAGGGGAGGTCACTTCTTCATGCACCTAGGTATAGTGTCAGAGTAATAGGGCGGTGGGCAAACTGGCTAAAGCGCCAGGCTAGTGATCCAGCGAGGTTGAGGTGTCTGGATCGAGCCAACCTGTGACCGGGTGTAGAAACCTTGGAGTCAACTTTGTGTGCAGACTCTTTCAGTGTTGTCACAACCCTTAGTGTACAGTACACAACCCTGTGCACTTAAAAGAACCAACAAATCCGTTGGTATATGACCAGATGGTGGGCCCATAAATATGTGCAAACACCTAGTTGCGGGTACAGCAATGTGCAGTGAACTTGGACAAAGTACTATGACTGTGTGTCCCAGTCCACCCAGCTGTGAATAGGTACCTCGTTAGGATGGGAAAGCCACAATAACTCGGTGCGCCTAGTGGCTGCAAGAGTTGTATGCTCCCCAGGGAGTTGAGATTGATAATAAAATGTGCCATTGAGATTGACATCCAATGATCGAGGGAAAAAATACCAGCACCTTGAGCATGCATGCACTAGTAGCATGGATATGGGGCTTTCAAATATGTGCATATTTCAGTCATTTTACTCACCGAAGTATTATGTCATTGAGTAAGTTTTTGTTTTAAACTTTTTGCGTATCTAACATTTTAAATGTGTAATTAGTACGCAACAATTATTTTTCAATGCGTAATTGGAAATTTTCTATGCATATTTTACCCGGATATGCAGCTTATCTTGGCCTCTGCACCACTACAAAACATATCCCACTAAATATCCATAATTATGAATGATTTTCTCCTGTATATGATGGTGGAAAGTCATAAGATGTCTCTTTTCCAAACTGTAACAATAAACCCTGGTCCTATTTGAGACATGCTCTTGACCATTTGATATTTGAATGTTGTTTGGGTGAATGTGGATTTTATAGAAAAAAAATGAATTGCGACAGAAAAGAAAGAAAGACATTTTTTTATTTATGTGTCTGATTGTTGAAAAATGATTGTTGGAAGATGATATATTTCAGCTGAGACTATCAACTGTTTGTTTTCTTACTGAAGGAAAACTACTGTTCTGTAACTTTGGCATCTACTATATACTCAATGTTATATGTTCACAGACATTCACTGACATGACGAGTTGGATCAAACAACTGTGCCTACGTGAATGTACTCGCTTCAGATGGGACCACAATCACAGGTTTAGTCCCCTTACTTGTTCTTTAGGGTTCATGTAGAGGTGGAGTGAGTGAGTGAGTAAGAATGGTTTTATGCCCCTATTAGCAATATTCCAGCTATCTCACATGGGGGAACACCAGAAATGAGCTTCATATTGTACCCATGTAGGGAATCGAACCTGGGCCCTTGGCATGATGAGCGAACACTTTCACCATTAGACTACCAAATCGCCACATTCTTTTTATGGTTCCAGTAGAGATGGAAGTCACTTCAACACTATATGGCTGGTTTCACAGTAGACTGACTCCATGCTGTAGACATGTTAGTGAACTATAAAGTCACCTGTTTAAGTAAACTTAGACTCGGTATTATTCGTTACACTGCTATACTGAGTCTAACAAACCCTAGTAGAAGGCTGTGTCAACTAAACTTTTGGACTGACCAATCAGAATCAGCTTACCAAATCGCAAAAGTTCACATTTGCACATACCGTTTGAACTTTTACTAAAAAAACTCGAAGGATTCCGGATGCTACTTTTTCTGCAGAATCGCTTACCAAATCGCAAAAAGTTCACGACCGTGATACACATGGAGGACGCAGTGAGTAAACAGTGTCTGGAAATGGAAATGTATTTGTCTCATATATATTATCTTGGTCAATAACTGAAAAAATATGAATTGAAAAACTACCAAATCTTCTTTTTCTGTCTACTATGTTTTTCATTTTTTATCATCATAATATTTCCTGATTTATTTCCCATGTACAGCTTATGATGTTGGTTTGTTCCTTTGTTTGTGTAACACTGCACTCAGCAAGATTCTAGCTATATAATTGAGGTCTATAAATAATTATGTCTGGATGAGACGATCTAGTGATTCACATCATAAGTATGGATGATGGTAACTGGAATACAGTGACCTGCATCAACCAAGTCAGCTTGTCTCGCCTCAAAATCACCATTAGGCTGTTCTTACAGCTAGTAAGTCTAACTTGGATCTCTGCAGGTGCAGCCAGTGATGCATATGGTTATGTTTCAGCGAGGACGTGTGTCGATGTGGTCGCAGTCAACATGAACACACAGGAGATGATACAGATGGAAAAAAACTCAGTACTTGGCAGAAACAGAAGAGCTTCGTTAAGAAAGAGACTGATACGTTTGGCAGAATCTTGTTTGAGGCTGTTGAAGTGCCTTCACTGGTGAGTATGGTCAGCCATTTTGTTTGAAGTTGTTGAAGTGCATTCACTGGTGAGTATGTCAGCCATTTTGTTTGAAGCAGTTTAGCGCCTTCTCTGGTGAATATGTTGGCCATTCTGTTAGAAGCTGTTGAAGTGCCTTCACTAGTGAGTGTGTTGGCCATTTTGTTAGAAGGGTTGGAAAGCATTCACTGGTGAGTATGTTGGCCATTTTGTTTGAAGCTGTTGAAGTGCTTTCACTGGCGAGTAATTTGTTGGCCATTTTGTTAGAGGATGTTGAAGTGCCTTCATTGGTGAGTACCGGTATGTCAGACAGATTGGTTTTGAGGGTTTCTTGCAAAAAATCATTATCATGATAATGTCAATGTTAGAAATGCAAACAAAAAAACAAAAAACATCAGATTTTGTAGTATAAATTTTCACGAGGTTATCTTTTAAACTTACTGGTTCACATGATTTGGTGAAATAGATATAAAATGTTTCACATTGAAACTTGAATCCATGAATTCAGCAGATGTCAAAACCATGAGGCCACCATTAATAAACTGTCGGTGCAGGAGTGGTCTTTGAGTGCTGGAAAATATTTACATTAAACAAACAAAAATACAAAAATGCGTTCTTAACATTTGTCAAACCCCAGTGTTAATAGTAAGCTAAGGGTGGCTCAGTCATGTAAAACTCCACAATTAACTGTGCAGAGCTGAATCATCTGGGACCTGCGTCATTCTGTCCTCCCACATTGAGCTGATACATATTGATTACTGGTGAAATGGTACATAATATTTTGCGGTATTTTGTTTCGGTTCAGTATACTGTAATGCAATCCGAAAATTCTGTATTTTCAAGTTTTCGTACTGTCATTTCTATCTAGTCATAAACAGTTTTGTTTATTCAAAATAACAAAGATTATAGTTATTTTTTCCCATGTCATTAACTCATTAAGCCCGAGAGCCCCATCACTACTCAACACCTGGAAGCCCTCGCTGATTGCCCACTCTCTGTGCCGAGATTAATTAGTGCTAGTCACACCTGATTTCCCTGGCAGGTTTCGGGGATCACAGGAAACTGTCTAGTCGTACAAACAAGTCCTGATTGTTTAATTGTGTCGTAAAGATATATGTTGAAAGAAATCAGGTCTGAATACATGTCGTGTATTGCAAGCTTTATGTAATTTTATTGCAAGTTTCTCTTGCAGACCTTTTGTCGGCTTGTACATTTATATTTTATCACAATATGCATACACATGTATTCTTTGTATGTAACAGATGAGACACACGTTAACAAATTCTCTCTCTTATATCATTGTGTGAGGTTTAAATTTACAAAACATCTATGACAATGACATACTTTAAAGAAGAATTTACTTTCATCCTTTCTAATCTTCGACGAAAATAGTGGTTTTGCCGATACATTTCTAGTGTTTATGAATTATTTTAATGAAAGTACTATAACGCTAGTCTGTGACTAGCACAAAGCATATTCATAGCATTGCACTTTATTTCATACAGATTTAATGCAGAAAACATACGTGACCATACAAACATACATATACAAAATGTATACTACATATTCCTTGCATAGACATAAAACAAAGAGTCACGTGATAGGGCGTCATCAAATTTCGAATAGAACGTTCGGTATCTCAACTGTTCAATGTAGTGGCTGGTCATATGTTATCTGCGACCAATCGTATCATGAGATACCTGTCACAGAGGAAAGGACAGGTGATGGGGCGTGGGCGAAATTTCTAAAGAGCACGTTTGGTCACTCAGCAACTTGGATAGAGATTGGTTATTGGCTATATCCTTGACCAGTCGATATGCTGGGTTTCGGCTTTATCAACTCAAGCTATCATGTAACAGTTTGGTGTATTGTAAACATACACACTGGTAACGATGTATGAAATATACACATAAGACAAATAGGAGTAGATAGTCACTTTGGCGAGTTTATTTGTCCTCATTTTAGTGTTTTTCGATAAGTAAAACAAAGCGATTGAAATCCAACCACTGAGTAGAGGTAGTATTTATTTTCATATACATTTTATGCACACAACTAGTACATAAAACATAATGGTTTGCTGTACATGTAAATATAATCTATACAAATGACTAACCAAACTAGAGTACACGCATTACAGAATTCACGAGTTGACACTATACTGAATTATTATAGTGTATAAACTAGCAGTTGACACCCCCACCCCCAATATTTATGAAGCTGGGCGTGGCTATATCTTTACTGAATGCAAACGAGGTTCATAAGATTACAGATGTGCATGCATGTGTAAACATCACAGAGAGGGGCGTGACTCCATAAAGCAAGATGTCCAATGATATAACAGCGCATCTGTTTATTTTACACTTGTCACGGGACAAACCTTTCAACAAGGACATAACTACATATGCATTCTACCGGAGGCTGTTATTTCAAGGTCGAAAGAGGCGTTCAATTATCTCATTACTGTAATCTGCTTGAATGATTATGTGTATCGATACCGTGACTGATATACTATCCTGCTTTTATTGACGATGGATCAATAGAGACTGAGTTGATTGATACACGTGATAATTGCACCGGATTTGATAATTACACAGATCAAATACAAACGTTTTACAGAATGCTCATGTAAATTGCATAGAAAACTGACAATTCAAATCAACATGAAACTTTCAAGAGCTTGAACAAAAATGCTTGAAATACCTTTGTATGGCTTACATGTAATAACTTATGATATTACTTCTGTCCATGTGTGACAATGTTTTGAATTACCAACTTACTGTCTTTTGTAACAAACGTAGTAAAACATTTCATTGTTGTAATAACACTGACATGTATATATATACGTATTCGATGCAAAGGCACGACTTATCACTTTATATTCGTTTAGGTAACATTATGAACTTTTGATTATGGAAAACAACTACATACAATTCAGTAAACTTCACATTAGTGAGTTCAATTATGTTTAATCTATTCGAGCTTGGATGTATAATTACTTGTGTTTATACATTATGTTTCAGTATATGAAACATGACAACATAATGATGCCTAAAAAGTAAATTCAAACTATTCTATTGTGTTTGAATTCTTTGTATGTCCTTGAAATTTCGTATATTTTTTCCTACTTATTAGGTAGTTGAAGGAAATATAATTTTTAGTAACCTCTAAACCATTACATCTAATTCAATCAAGGTGCATACGAAGTATTTTAGCATACATTCCCAAGGAAGAGTACCGGGCACTTACCTCTGTAAAAACATCATAATCCCCTTTCTCGCCGACATGCGTTCATTCGCTAAACGCTGTACAAGCCTATGATAATGATTAGCAATTGTTATCAAAACACTTTAAATACTTCTTCTGATTGATACTAAAGGTGGGATCTCTCGTAAGAAAAGCTAACATTTGCTCAGTACTGCTAAATTGGTTGAAATAATAGGTACAGTGTGATTTTTAAAAGTACAACACACATGTGCGTCTCTCGCTGAATAAGAGGTGCTTTCTGTTGACGACTGTATGTGGCTCTCGCTGTGAGAAATTGCTAATTACCTGCCCCATAAACACGTCACTCGCTGTGAGGAGCTGATTAATTTGCCCCATATATGCGTCTCTCGGCCTTAATGAGTTAAACAATGTAAGGTTTAGCTCATTTAGTCAGTTTTCTGCATTATGATCATATCTCATATACCGAACAGAAACAGACTGATCCGAAGGCCTTGTACTGCAAAACATACCATACCATGGTAAGAGCCTACCGTTTCGGACCTACTATTGATATAATGATTTCATCTAATAAGTGACCGAGCAGCTGGTTGAGGAGGTGAGAGCTCCCCTACCTTGTTATGTTCTGTTAAAGAACAAACTCCCTTTTCCCTTCCTAATGATGATAATTTAATAAAAACAGATATAACTGTAAGTAAGGTTAGACGGGGTGTATAGATTCATTTTTGGCGGCATGTTATAGTGAATCAATGCAACTTGTTGTGTATTAGAGAAAGAATAGTGGTAAGGAATAATTGACTAATTTAATAGTAGTAAATTGAGTTTCATGATTTAGCTGTAGTTTACGAAGTTTACAGCAGAATCAATAGAGATGCATTGATGCTTTTTCTAAGACGATACAATTATCGATACTTTCAAAATTAATTATCAATACAGTTTTGAATAGCTTTAGTTTTGAAAGTATCGGTTTAAATATGTTTATGTATCGTTTACATTGTGTAATTGTATCATGTTTATGATGTTATGAGAGTTATAAATGATTATTTTTCATGCACAAAGATGGGAAATTAGAACTTTTTAATCTCTGAGAATCAGAAATGTTGATCTTTTCATGGACAATTATAAATTATGCAATATTAATAGTCAAAATGTATCTAAAGTTACGCAGTAATGCGTAATAGGTAACAGTAGGTATCGTGATACGTATCAAATCGTGACATGGGTATCGTGATATGTATCAATTCATGAAAATTATGTATCGTGACATCCCTAAGAATCAAGGTCAGTTTGTATCAGTCTCCTGTGGTAGCACATGTGCGATTTTTTATGCGGTTTGTGGAACTGTGGCAGTGAACCATGTTTACTCTGGAAACTGGTCAAGTTGGCTTTGGACTTGACAGGGATGAGAATTTTCTGTGGATCTGCGGAATTCCGGGAATTTCATAAGGCCAAGGTCATTTTTGTGAATCGTCTAAATCTGTTGAGAAAATTTTAGGGGGGGTGGTGCATTTTTCATGATATTGTCATTTCTGAGCCAGTTTTAAAGGTCTAAAATGCCTAAATATCAGGAGCTACGTGGGGCTTTGACCCCCTGTCCCCACAATGCGTGCTGCCCTGGACCCCGGCTGGTTTCAGAGTTTTTCTCAAAACTTCATTCTTATCCCTGACTTGAGTGAGTGAGTGAGTTTGGTTTTACGCTGCTTTTAGCAATATTCCAGCAATATCATGGCGGGGGACACCGAAAATGGGGTTCACACATTGTACCCATGTGGGGAATCAAACCTGGGTCTTCGGCATGACGAGTGAATGCTTTAACCACTAGGCTACCCCACTGCCCCGCTTTGGACTTGAAACAACTTATATTGTAACATTGTCAGGGCTACAGATAAGGGCCGTACGGATAAAAAAATATGCATGATACGGTAGGAAATAATTTAGAAAACGTAGCAGATAAGCACCACAGCAATTGTGTACGGTCTTAGAATCATTTACAGACATATTTACCTGAAAAAGTATTGTTTAATTTTTTATTGAACCGTAGCAATGCTGTCATGCATATATGAAATGAAGCACAAGTTTAATGATACACCATTAAATTCCATTCATTACACTAAATGTATTCTTATTGTTTTCCAGTACTCAAATAATGAAAAAATAAGGAGTACGCACTCCTGATGTTGAAAAATTATCTGGAGCCCTGATTGTGATCTGCTGTACTTTTTGTGAAAGCTTGATACTGAATATCTGATCTGTAAGAGTGATAAGGCATGAAATATGATGTTTGTAGAATAAGTTGTTATACTTATATCAGAATAAATATTCTTATTCTTTATATTGCCTTTAATTGTATTTCACCCCGCTTCATGAAGTAGAAACAACCCGGATGCAAAGAACGAGTTTGGACATCAATGTCCCCATAACGTCTCCTATAACAAACAAAAATACAAAACGCAAAGTCCATCGTCATACCTGATGGTCAGACGTCGTCTTATTACAATATCATCAGATTTGGTCTTCAGATAGCATAGACTGTCTCCGTGGTGTAGTGGTTAGAGTGTCCCCCGGAGAGCGGAAGATCCTGGGTTCGATCCCCGACCGCATCATACCAAAAGACGTTAAAATATGGTACTTGTTGGTCCCTGCCTGGCGCTTGGCATTGATGGGTACAACAAGGACTGGTCGGCTTGGAGTCAGTATAATGTGTCTGAGTGGGGTATTCATGCTTCACTGCGGCATGGTATCTCAGTGGGCTAGCACTATAAAACCAGCTTAAGTCTGGGCTAGTACAAGCAGCCGCACATACACATACACATGCATGCATGTCGTCATATGAGCGAAATATTCTCAAGCACGACGTTAAACCCAATTTCACCTGACCTCAGATAGCATGGTGAACTAGAGTGATTATGCAGGTTCATATTTATCACATGTATAACCCCTGTGCTGATTTCATATTGTTGAATCCAGTTTGTCCGCCTTGACACCAAAACATCGAGTGAGAAATTGGCTAATCTTCTGAGCAAGGATATCCTGGAAGTGAGCAGTAATGATCTGGTCCTCCACTTCGTGGACTTTGATGAAGCTGAACCTCGTGTTGATGCTGATGTTGTTGCAAAACTCCAGGACAAGCTCAAGGCTGGCCTTAAAGTCCTGGCTGATAAGACAAGTAAGATATATAATTTGTCTGAAGATTAGAGGTAATAGAGCAGTAAGATATATTATTTGTCTGAAGATTAGAGGCAATAGACCAGTAGCATATATAATTTGTCTGAAGATTAGAGGCAATAGACCAGTAGCATATATAATTTGTCTGAAGATTAGAGGCAATAGACCAGTAGCATATATAATTTGTCTGAAGATTAGAGGTAATAGACCAGTAGCATATATAATTTGTCTGAAGATTAGAGGCAATAGACCAGTAGCATATATAATTTGTCTGAAGATTAGAGGCAATAGACCAGTAGCATATATAATTTGTCTGAAGATTAGAGACCAGTAGCATATATAATTTGTCTGAAGATTAGAGGCAATAGACCAGTAGCATATATAATTTGTCTGAAGATTAGAGGTAATAGACCAGTAGCATTGATAATATTGCCATGTACATGTGAGTGAGTGAGTCAAAATTTAAAGTCACATTGGCAATATTTCAGCCATATCGTGATGTACATGTAAATAATGGAGACAATATAATATGTGATAGCATGCTATTGTGTTTTTAGCAACTGATAATTCATACAGGCAGATTTTCGTGAATAAAGAAACGCAAGCATATGTCCATATAAAGGACAATGAAGTTGACATCTCTAATCTCTGGTTCCTGCAGCTATTTCAGACAAGAATCCTCAGCTGACCTTGACCTTGTTTCCGACAAGGTCCTGCATCATCAGTAATCTCCTTCCCTGGACTGTGTATGAGTTTGAGTGTTTTGGTGGCTGTGAGACTGAGACTGAGAATGGCTCTGTGACAACCTGGGATCACCTGGACATGATCGCCGTAAAGACAGACAGTGACAGTAAGTGCACGTGTTATATGTGGTTTCACGTGGTCTGTATTGTATGCTTTCCTTAAGCCAAAAGAGGGCGGTGAGGTAGCCTAGTGGTTCAAGCGTTCGCTCGTCATGCTGAAGACCCGGGTTCGATTCCCCACATGGGTACAATGTGTGAAACCCATTTCTGGTGTCCCCTGCCGTGATATTGCTGAAATATTGCTAAAAGTGGCGTAAAACTAAACTCACTCACACACTCACATAAACCAAAAGCCCTGTTCCGACAGTGGTCTTATCATTGAGGTGTTATTAAGTCTGCGATAATTGATATGAGTTACACTTGTGATGTTAAGATCAGTTTGATGGTTGAGGTCCTAGGGCCCCTGTTCCAGAAGTGATCATACCATGGTGATGTTTGTAAGTCTGTGATAATTGATATTACTTACAGTTGTGACAAGAAGGGCCTAGGATCCTGTTCCATAAATTATCTTGCAAGGGTGATGTTTGTAAGTCTGTGATGATTGACATTTGTTTGGGTTTGAATTTAAGATCCCTTTGAAGATTGAAGCCCACACATATTTTGTTTCATGAACATTTCATAAGGTCATTTAGCATGAAACTTGTCCAAGAAGTGATGATGCTTATGTCTCTGGATTGAAAATACATAAATGTACAATTTATTAAAAATGTATAAGAAAAATGAAACATTGTCTTTGTCAAAAGAACCTTTCATCCACAGGATTAGTTTATTTTTTTATCTTAAGATGCTACAGAGTATTATAGTTAGTTATATAGTTTTTTTTATATAGTTAGTTATATAGTTTGTTTCTAATTGAACCATATCTTTCTAATTGAACTACATTTTCAAAACAGTGCATTGTCAATGACATTATCTCAATGCAAAAGATGACTTTGAAATTGTGCCTACTGCACAAGTAATATTATGCCATGGGTCACATTGGAAGAGACACAGTTTTTCTGTCTCTGAAACACACTTTTTTCTGTAAAACAGCAAAGGATTTTCAGAAGATGGAGAAGGATATCGCCACCAACATCCTGGCCATGACTTCTCCTCAGGATGTAGTACTACAGAGGTGAGTTGAGATGTAACATGGTGTATGTAGTACTACAGAGGTGAGTTGAGATGTAACATTTGGTACAACAGAGGTCAGTACAGATGTGTCTCTGACTGGTGCACAGCATTAATGGGTACAACAAAGACTGGCCACCTCGGAGTCAGTATAATGTGTCTGAGTGGGGTATTCGTGCTTAACTCTGGCATGGTATCTCAGTGGGCTAGCACAATAAAACCAGCTTAAGTCTGGGCTAGTACAAGCAGCCACATTTACACATGCATGCACGTCATACTGTACAGGGATGAGGATTTTCCGAGGAATTCCGGAATTTCATAAGTCCAAGGGTAATATTTGTGAATCATCTAAATCCATTGATCTGCCCTGGACCCCAGAGTTTTTCTCAAAACTTCATTCTCATCCCTGGTCATATGAGTGAAATATTCTTAAGTACGATGTTAAACCCCATTTCACCTCACCTCACCACCTACATGTAGTACTACAGAGGTGAGTACAGATGTAACATGTAGTACTACAGAGATGAGACTTAACATGTAGTACTACAGAGGTGAGATGTAACATGTAGTACTACAGAGGTGAGTACAGATGTAACATGTAGTACTACAGAGATGAGATGTAACATGTAGTACTACAGAGGTGAGATTAGATGTAACATGTAGTACTACAGAGGTGAGATTAGATGTAACATGTAGTACTACAGAGGTGAGTACAGATGTAACATGTAGTACTACAGAGGTGAGATACAGATGTAACATGTAGTACTACAGAGGTGAGTACAGATGTAACATGTAGTACTACAGAGGTGAGTACAGATGTAACATGTAGTACTACACAGAGGTGAGTACAGATGTTACTACAGAGGTGAGTACAGATGTAACATGTAGTACTACAGAGATGAGACTTAACATGTAGTACTACAGAGGTGAGATGTAACATGTAGTACTACAGAGGTGAGTACAGATGTAACATGTAGTACTACAGAGATGAGATGTAACATGTAGTACTACAGAGGTGAGATTAGATGTAACATGTAGTACTACAGAGGTGAGATTAGATGTAACATGTAGTACTATAGAGGTGAGTACAGATGTAACATGTAGTACTACAGAGGTGAGTACAGATGTAACATGTACTACAGAGGTGAATACAGATGTAATATGTAGTACTACAGAGGTGATTACAGATGTAACATGTAGTACTACAGAGGTGAGATGAGATGTAACATGTAGTACTATAGAGGTGAGTACAGATGTAACATGTAGTACTACAGAGGTGAGTACAGATGTAACATGTAGTACTACAGAGGTGAATACAGATGTAACATGTAGTACTACAGAGGTGAGATGTGATGTAACATGTACTACAGAGGTGAGATGTGATGTAACATGTAGTACTACAGAGGTGAATACAGATGTAACATGTAGTACTACAGAGGTGAGATGTGATGTAACATGTAGTACTATAGAGGTGAGTACAGGTGTAACATGTAGTACTACAGAGGTGAGTACAGATGTAACATGTAGTACTACAGAGGTGAGTACAGATGTAACATGTAGTACTACAGAGATGTAATGTAGTACTACAGAGGTGAGTAGAGATGTAACATGTAGTACTACAAAGGTGAGTAGAGATGTTACATGTAGTACTACAGAGGTGAGATTAGATGTAACATGTACAACAGAGGTGAGTACAAATGTAACATGTAGTACTACAGAGGTGATTACAGATGTAACATGTAGTACTACTGAGATGTGATGTAACATGTAGTACTACAGAGGTGAGTACAGATGTAACATGTACTAGAGAGGTGAATACAGATGTAACATGTAGTACTACAGAGGTGAGTACAGATGTAACATGTAGTACTACAGAGATGATATGAGATGTAACATGTAGTACTACAGAGGTGAGATGAGATGTTACATGTACGACAGAGGTGAGTACAGATGTAACATGTAGTACTACAGAGGTGAGATGAGATGTAACATGTATGACAGAGGTGAGATGAGTTGTAACATGTAGTACTACAGAGGTGAATACAGATGTAACATGTAGTACTACAGAGGTGAGATGTGATGTAACATGTACTACAGAGGTGAGATGTGATGTAACATGTAGTACTACAGAGGTGAATACAGATGTAACATGTAGTACTACAGAGGTGAGATGTGATGTAACATGTATGACAGAGGTGAGATGACTTGTAACATGTAGTACTACAGAGGTGAGTACAGATGTAACATGTAGTACTACAGAGGTGAATACAGATGTAACATGTAGTACTACAGAGGTGAGATGTGATGTAACATGTACTACAGAGGTGAGATGTGATGTAACATGTAGTACTACAGAGGTGAATACAGATGTAACATGTAGTACTACAGAGGTGAGATGTGATGTAACATGTAGTACTATAGAGGTGAGTACAGGTGTAACATGTAGTACTACAGAGGTGAGTACAGATGTAACATGTAGTACTACAGAGGTGAGTACAGATGTAACATGTAGTACTACAGAGGTGAGTACAGATGTAACATGTACTACAAAGGTGAGATGTAAACATGTAGTACTACAGAGGTGAGATGAGATGTAATGTAGTACTACAGAGGTGAGTAGAGATGTAACATGTAGTACTACAAAGGTGAGTAGAGATGTTACATGTAGTACTACAGAGGTGAGATTAGATGTAACATGTACAACAGAGGTGAGTACAAATGTAACATGTAGTATTACTACAGAGGTGATTACAGATTACTACAGAGGTGAGTACAAATGTAACATGTACTAGAGAGGTGAATACAGATGTAACATGTAGTACTACAGAGGTGAGTACAGATGTAACATGTAGTACTACAGAGATGATATGAGATGTAACATGTAGTACTACAGAGGTGAGATGAGATGTTACATGTACGACAGAGGTGAGTACAGATGTAACATGTAGTAGTACTACAGAGGTGAGATGAGATGTAACATGTATGACAGAGGTGAGATGAGTTGTAACATGTAGTACTACAGAGGTGAGATGAGATGTAACATGTAGTACTACAGAGGTGAGTACAGATGTTACATGTAGTACTACAGAGGTGAGATGAGATGTAACATGTAGTACTACAGAGGTGAGTACAGATGTAACATGTAGCATTTAGTACGACAGAGGTGAGAGCAGATATGACATGTACTAAAGAGGTCAGCTGCTTTTTTTTATATTCCAGAACTGAGGAGCTATGTAAGGAGATGTCCAAGATGGGGAAGTCCAACAGCACATCAGTGAAGGCCCTGCAACACCTCAGTGAGGAGGTTGCCCAGTACGTAACATCATGGAGGATGTGAAATGTCTTCTTCCATTGCTGGAAAATACTCATTTCTCACTGGCCAGTCTCAAGTTTCCAATTACACTAACCACTTCCAAATGAACAAGTGAATTGATCAGGGGCAGATGCAGCTTTTTGAGAAAGAGGGAGTGCACACTTCATTTTCACCCGAGTTTCAATGGTCATTGAACAAACTTTCAGAACAAAGGGGTGGGGGTTCAGCGCACACACTAACCCTCTGGATCAGCCTATGATTGATGACATTGACAGAAACCAAAGTTATAGAAACAGTTTCACTTCTCAGTCATTGTCTGTAGTTATTTTTAAATTAGGATATGGACATTATCAAATAAGATGTAGAGTTGCAGTTACTGCAGTACATGCGTGAAATAATAAGTTGTGCAAAAACACCTGAAATTAAAGTAAGAAGGAGCATGGACTTTGGCAATTTTCTTTGTGCAACTGACCTGAAAAGATGAGTGGGATCATAGGTGGGTAAGTGAGTGACTTCAGTTTTATGCTGCTTTTAGCAATATTCAAGCAATATCACAGCAGGGGACACCAGAAATGGACTTCACACATTGTACCCATGTGAAACATTCAACCTGGGTCTTTTTCGCGATGAGCGAGCGCTTTAACCACTAGGCTACCCCACCGGCCCCATGTACTAAAAGGCAATGTGTATTCATATGTGATCATATTCTTGTTGGTCTGTTCCAGGTTGAAAATTTTACATGAAAACTACATGACCGAGAAAGAAACTGCCATTCAGTTAAAATCGGAATCTGTTCTTCAAGAGAGTGGAAACATTAGAAATGGGTATTGAGGAACTAAAACATAATCAACAGACAATACTGAGACTGCTACAGGATATCCAGACCAAAATACCAGCCTTCGCCATCCCTCCAGGGACATGAGATGGAATGACCTGATCAACGTGGTGTGTCAAGCCTGTGTCCTGTGCTATCGAACGTTATTACCTACGAGGGCGAACATGTCGGGGTTCATATTTTTTATACGATGCCCTTGGGCAAAATGTCACTTTGTCATGGTGACGTGACGTCATGAACAAGGCTATGATGTCACGTTTCTTCTGTGACATTGCGTTCTACATGCGGCGACGGCTGGTAGCCAGCCTGTGTTTGAAAGTAGATTTGGGTTTATTTTCCTCAATTTGACGACTTTGGTGATAAACAGAATATTATATTCATGCCCATATCATGTATGGTCTCACTAGGGAAATACCAACATTTAGGCACTTGTGTCATAAACATAGTATGGCATGGGCACTCATATAATATCCTCTATTTATGGCTAGACACAAATATATGGCTGCAACTTGAGATAGGGATGGCAGATCAGACTGTGCCAAGTATCTCGTTTGTTAGCAATCTACCCCAGCACTATATTGATTATAAGTTGGCTTTGGAAGTCACTTGGTGACTTGGTAAATTTGCTCTTAATATCAACCAATCTTTTGTCCAAGACTTGTTTATTCAGGTCATTGGATGACAGCTGGAATAGTGCTCACTTGGGTGCTGAATGTTTACACCTGCCTGTTAGTATACCCCACAGTGGATCACATTTCACACTGTCAGTCTCATCATGTCAGTCTACGTGGTCTCAACTCTGATTGGTCAGTTAGAAATGTCAAATCAATTACATATATGAGTCATGGTTATGTTTTACTGAAAGGTAAAACACCTAATCACTGACTACGTTGACTGTCACTTGATCCACATTTCCCATTGTCTTGTTTTCATCAGCACTGTAATCTCAGTGTGGGTGCTCTCTTAACCTTTTACAAACCGTTTTGCCATGTTTATTTTCTTTATTGCAATTTGTTGCTCATTTTATTGCAGCTTGTTAACTAAAAAACATTTTGCCATGTTTACTTTCTTTATTTCAATTTGTTAGGGCTGTAACGATGCATCACATCAAAGTATCGATGGATTGCAATTGTTGAGCAATTAATCAATGGTAGAAATGAAAAACTATCGATGCATTGATAGAATGTGTGGCTATCGATATTTTAGTAATTCACTTCAGTTGATAAATGTGCAGCGCAAAACACAGGTAGTACTAGATTCGTTCACTTTGATTTAGAATTATCCTGCCCTGTTACCTCTTAAACAAACATGACTGTTTACTTGATCTGGGTTTCAGGTTTCTTGTCAGTTATCAAAAGTGAATGAAACTATTTCAACTTGTTTTTATTTCATATAAACTATACATTCATTTTGGAAATGACTTCAAATGAGACAATTCAAGGAGAAGAAAACTATTGGAATAGTATTGCAGTAAAGTGGAACACTTGGTTGCAGTAGTAGTTGTGACGTTTCGGTGTAGATCCTAACACCGTTATCAAGCAAATGATGACAGTGTTAGGATCTACACCAAAACTACTACCGCAACAAAGAAGTTGTCTATCCATAAATGTGTTCCACTTCATCATACCAGCTTCTAAATGCCACTTAAGGAAGTTAGTATTGCAATAGTTAGTCACAATTGTCTGTTGCAATAGTTGTTTCCCCCTCAATAGTCACCCCTACAATTTGTTGCTGTTTTATTGCTGTTTGTTATGATTGTTGGCATTGTAGGCCAATTGTTGGCATAATGTAAAGCATGCATAATGTATGCATTTATATACTGTTTTGAGGCATACTTCTTAAATGTCATGTTCTGTTTCTGGACAAATAAAGATTTTATAAACAAAACTGGCCAGTTGATTAATTGTTCTTGGGAAATTGTAGACAATGATAGATGGTTTAGAGGATAGAGCATCTGTTTTGTGAGTAGAAGTTTAGTGGGTTTGAACACAGTCACGTCATACCAAAATATACTGATGGAAACAAATAAGGGAACAAAACTACATCGCAGTGTTCCTCTATTCATTCTCAGATTCTCACCCCAGTGCAATGCAAAGCTTGTGAAGAAACCTGGAAAAGAGTAAAGGAACACTTGTGCTTTCATGTGTTCCCTTATTTGTTTCCCTCAGTATACGTTAAATTATGGTGCTTGTTGTTACCCTGGTTGACCCAGAATGCTGGGAGTCCGTATGATGTGTCTGCATTGCATATCCATGATACAATGGCATCTCAGCATTAGGCAGAACACACACACTCACACTATACATCCCTAAAAATTATCCTTCAGACCCATTTCATCTACTTATTGGAAATAAAACCCTAGGTCAGTGTCCAAGGCTAACATGCTGTCTCAGGGAAGATGGCATTGCATGCATGTGTATGTACCATAACAATTACATAATTAATATATACCAAATTTAAACTTTGTATGTATAATATATATAATAATTATTCCTTATTTATCTTTATTGCAGATGAGACATTTGTCTTTAAATTAATGTGTTTTAAGTAACAAGTTTTAGAAACAGTATGCCTGTATTTCGTATGTATCAAGTAACAAAACAATAGCACTTCCTTGGACCAGTTGATGTGATGGCAGACACAGCCAAGAGGGATGACCAATTAAGGCTATAAATGTCATATACAGTAATTAATTAAAGTGGTACAGGTTGGCTGACAATGCAGTAGTGATAACGATTAAGAATGCAGATTAGCATCATATAAATAATTACAATTAAGTCTCATATGGCTTTGCTACATAGGTTTTGTTTTTTGTAGTATTTGGACGATGGTTGTCCTGTCACTATGACATGCGTATAGGTAATCACTAACGTCTCTCACAAAACAGCTGAAAACAATGTTTGCACTTGGTACTGTATTGCCCAATATCCACGGTTGATCCCCTGTTGCCAAGCACCATCATGTAGAGTTTTATTCCTTAACATACCAGGATCTGCTTAACATGTTTCGAATCCCAGATTAATCCAGTTCATGATCCTAAATTTGTAGCAGGCTTGATTTCATATACAATTTGATTGGTGCTATTAAAGAGCTTCTGTGACACCTACACAACGAAGTGGTGTTATATACCATTTTATCATATACCTAACAATCATATGGGGCAATTTTGTATGTCCCATTGAGTAAAAGAAGAGGCGGTACAGCTGTATTACACCCATCCCTGCCGGCTGATATGGCATGTCACTGTATTTTGAACTAGTAATCAATATCTGCCTGAGTGGTAAGAAATTGGAGTTATGTCCCTAGGTGTGTCGTCTGTTCAAAAAGCTCCACTTGACATTTTCCTAATAACTTTCCTCATGAGTCAATCTGAGTGAGTGAGTGAGCGAGCAGCAACATTATAGTGGAGTGAGCAGCAGCAACATCAGTGGAGTGAGTTAGCAGCAACATTATAGTGAGTGAGCAGCAACATTATAGTGGAGTGAGTGAGCAGCAACATTATAGTGAGTGAGCAGCAACATTATAGTGGAGTGAGTGAGCAGCAACATTATAGTGGAGTGAGTGAGCAGCAACATTATAGTTGAGTGAGTGAGCAGCAACATTATAGTGAGTGAGCAGCAACATTATAGCGGAGTGAGTGAGCAGCAACATCAGTGGTGAGAGTGAGCAGCAACATTATAGTGGGGTGAGTGAGCAGCAACATTATAGTGGAGTGAGTGAGTGAGCAGCAACATCAGTGGAGAGAGTGAGCAGCAACATTATAGTGAGTGAGTGAGTGAGCAGCAACATTATAGTGGAGTGAGTGAGCAGCAACATTATAGCGGAGTGAGTGAGCAGCAACATTATAGCGGAAAGTGAGTGAGTGAGTGAGTGAGCAGCATTATAGTGAGTGAGTGAGCAGATACGTCACTGTGGAGGACATGTAATAAACTGAAGCATGAGGCTACCACAACTTCTCATCATGCATATTGTTTAACACAACATATACACAACTGTAGAGTACATGACGATCTAAATCAGCCCAAATTAATATTTTTCTTTTATCAAATATAACACAAACACTTTGCATTCATCCAGTAATATTTATTCTTAGACTTCTTATAATGGTAACAGAAATGAGTAAACCAGTTTCACATACCAAGCAAGCAATGTAACCTTACACTATGTAATACAATCCAAGTACTTGTGAAAAAAGAATCAGAATCCTCACCAGTCATAAACAGATCTCACAGACCATGAACCATATTATTTTTCCTTCTACCCAGTTTTACTGTTTAGCAAAAGCCCAAAATGAAGAAAGTCTGAATTGTCTTCAAAAGAATCCCTCCTTTTTAATTTACATGCATTCTGTTTCATTCAAAAATATATATTTTCAGAGACAAAGGGTTAGTCTGCCCAGTGTACAACACTGCTTCTAAAATTCAACTTTTAAAAGTTCCAGATATTACCTGCAACAATATAAATACATATAGTTCCTACTGCACTTTGTGCCTTTTAAATTTTTAAATGTTTTTATTTATTCAGCCTTACCATTTGTTACAATGGGTACCTGATACATAACAATCTCAAATGTTTAGCAATGTGATAATATATACTATACATAATGATAAACAATAATATGGTGTGAACATCACTTGAGAGCATTTCACATAAAAGAACATATTTTCAGTGGTATGTTCCTCACATTGTATAAATTCTCAAGAGCACAAGTAATTATGCTCTTAAAGCCCTATGCTCTTAAAAGCACAATCTCCATCCTTTCAGACAAACACTATCTATCTACTGTCTTCTTTCAGTATCACTCAGTGTAGTTGTTTGTTCCATGTAATGTTCCAAATGCTGTTAGAATTTCTGTTTTGAAAGTTAAGCACGTTTGGGACTTCAGTAAAACTAAATGAAAGAGTGAAGCTAAAACATATTTAAACTTACTCAGGAAGAACTCTGACACATGTATATTGTTTACATAAACCTCAAAACAACACAATTGTGTTGAGAAATTCACCTTGGGTCAAAGATTTGCTCATAGTTAGATTTCCTTTTCATTCCTTTCAACCATAATTATTATGAAATGCTCCAATGGTTTCCACAAATCTAGAATTTGATATTTCCAAAAATAACACTTACTGGCTCCTTTGAAACACAATTGTACCAGCTTACTTTCAAAACACGTTTATGAAATTTTCTCTATTCTCAACTAAAAATAGGAATATTTTCAAAACGTGACTGCTCTGGTGTGTCTGACTGAGTTT